TGGTGCTGGTGCGTATCTCCAGCTGTCTACAGGCGAGAGGCGGGATACACCCTGGACAGGACGCAGTCCATCGCATCTCCCTATCTAGATATTCTCCATTCCCTCAATTTTTATCTTATACAGGACTGGGAGGGGATTTGACACAGACAGCAGACATGTGAATTACTAAAGAGAGCATGAAACAAGTGAAATGCCACTTTGTGTATGCTTTTGCTGAAAGAATAGTGTTATAACTCAGTGACAAGATTGTATAATTTTTAGTCAAAAAAGTAGCATGATATAGGCCCTTAAAGGGGCCTATAGACCTTAAAGGTTTCTAGAATAGAAAACATTATGAGAGGAATACGCAAGAAGAGCAAAAAATGCAATTAGGAAAACTCAGATCATTACAAAATGAATTCAGATGCTACAGTGCATCCCAATTCTTACCTTCTTGACTTTTGCCTGCTCCTTTTCAGACTCCTTTTCTGCCTTCTTAGCCAATCTCTCAAGTTGCTTAGCTGTAAACTGTGAAACACAAAAGAAAAGTGTGGATGATAAATTATTAACTTTGAAGCCATGAGGTTGTACGGAAAAAACATATCATATGTCGTCACAGGGACATACCTTCAGCTGGAAGAGTGTGTCTGCGGAAAGGAAGAACAAATGTGATAAATAACTCTAAAAAAGAAGCATGGTTCTGGAAACATCAGAATTAAGTAGATTTCTAAATCCTTAAAAAGCATACAAACAATCTTGTTGTGTCATTGAAAGCTTGTATTACTGTGAAGTGATGCTATTTACACCTGCTTTCCTCACATCTTCATTTTGAACACTAGTATTCTCTATATTTTTTGAGTTAGTGTACACAATAAAAGTAAAAGTGTAGATATACATGTGACTAAGAAATCTCTAAATCGTTAAAAAAGGACGCAAGTGTCATTTTATCAAACAAAATATAAAAAATAAAGAATCATCGATGTAAAATTTCAGCAGAAACAGATTTGTAACAAAAACTACAAACATAAAACTCAAGCAGTAGCAATCAAAGGTTTGCTACATGTAATTTGTGTTCAAGTAATATATTCACTATAGGTCCATAAGTACCTGTGGAGTAAATTGTGCATAACACAGACGTCCTGTTGATTACAAAAATCCCTTTATGTTTCAAAGAACATAAACAGGCCGATGGAAAAATAAAATGATGGAAAAATTAGAAAAGCTATTAAAAAGGCCAACAACTCTTCTAAATACAAAATTTCCAATAATAATTAATAAAAACAATCATTAACCTGATATAAAAACTAATGTTATCATGAACAATGACGGCATATATTAGATATTTGATAGGATCGTCTCCAACTATCATAATCAGGTACTTACCAATTCAAAACAAAGGTTATAAGGAGGGATTTTAGACAAAGACAAGAAATGTCCGATTAAAAAAAAAGATGGAGGGCAAATAAAGACTATGTCAAAATATTTCTACACAAAAATGTAACAAAAAAGTTTCCCGTTTCAGTAAGTTTAGTTTGTCACGATGACAACATCAGGAAGTGTCTGGTTGATATACGTTCATGCGACAAACGTCATCTGCCACAAATAAATTCAGTGAGACTCATAAGTAGAATATATTACTTGTAATTAAACAATCCAACTCGATGATTCGGTTAAAGTTTGAGCTGAAAATAAAGATAACAACAACAGTTTAGGGCTAAACAGTCTCTGCTCTTAGCCAAGCTAACAGTGGATACCAGGATTTAGACGAATCCCGTGAACAGAGAGAACTAAACTGAGAACAACACGTACCGTCCATGTCAACACGAACACAATGTCTGAGTTTAACTAAAAATGTTTGGTTCGGTTCTTCAGCCAGGAGCTCCGGGACCAGTTCTAGTTAATTAAAAGGCTGCTTCTTCCTGGATCGAGAGCTGTTGCTCTTCTTCTTCCTCTCCTCTATGATGTTTATTTCATAGACAAGTAAAGGTGCGCATTACCGCCACCTTCTGGTAAGGAGTGTGAGTCAGGAATTCCCCTGACAGTTCTTCGTCTTCTTCTTCTTGTTCTTGGATGGCTTGGCGGATTGCAAACAACTAATAGGTGCATACCGCCACCTACTGTACTTGAGTGTGTAGCTCTATAGTTCCACCTACTATATTCTATTTTTTTATTTTTTGTGTTATGTAAAAGTAAAAACAATTCTTTATTAATAACCAGATTTTCCTCCCTATCTCCATCTGTCCCTAAAATTCCTTTAATACTCCATTCTCTATCCTTTTCCACAATTAGTTTCCTCATCCTCCCTCTTTCAGTTGCATATTGAATGCAATCCATCAAAACACGACCCCCCTTTTTTTTCTTTCTCCCCTGACAGTTCATTTACTTAATACATTTAATAAACAACTTAGAGCTTAATAAATAAATTAGAAACTCTCAGGAATACTACAACCGATTTTGCATCATTGAAACAATGATTTGCGTTGCTCTTCTTCTCAATCTTGTTCTTTTTTTGTTTGCATTTTAACAATACATTTGCGCATTATCACCACTAGTCTGCATGATGTGTGGACTGGAAAAGTGTAAAAATCATAATTAAAAAAATAACAATCGAGTGTGTTAAATATAATGCAAAACCTCCAACTATACTCTGTCTTGAAACTCCTGGACTCAGACATTGTTTTGAAAATTGATTGTGGTACATATAGTGTAATATTTGCCATTATTATGGAAGTCCCAGATCCAATTTACAATGTGCAATTTGTGCTTTATAATTTGTAATTCAAACTGCATGATTTAAATTTTAAATGTCTGTTTTCCTTTTTTTTCAATGACTCTATAGGTCCTCCAAACATTATAGGTTGAAGACTCTTTTGCTGACACAGTGGGAGCCAACCTAGGTGAATAGAGATGATTGGTAAAAGTGTAACTTGGCCAGAATGTATGTGCATTATATCCCAGAGGAATAACGACAGACAACCTACAGAAGAGGAGCCATTCATCTCTAGATTGTAAATTTCTTCTTTAAGATGTTGACTGTGGCTCATTTCTATATATGACAATCAGTAGAAATGCAATATAAAAACATATATTTTCCTTGTCTCCAAAGCTCTCTGTGAAGCGAATGTAGCTTTGTTTACAGGAGAAAACTGGAACCTATGCACCTAAGAAAGCAAATTGGAAATAAAATTGGAGCATCAGTTAAATATGGGTGAGGTGACCACAAGCAACAAACACAATAAAGAATAATTACAGCGTATAGCATCTATAACTGCTCTGCCATCTCCCACATCAATGGCGTGGATCATGTTCTCATGTGGAACCACATAACCGGGGCATTTTTCACCTCCAATGGTGACTATGTAGCGTAGGATTTTAAACACTCTCTGGGCTGACTAAGGTACTGCAACCTAGCCTTCAGCATCTCTACTGTCATCTCCATCCTGATGATCCATGTTATAACAGGGCTACCCATTATAGCACACATGCACACGCACTCGAACGAGGTCCAATTAGGACAAACAGCAAAATGTCTTCAAGTACAAGGATTGAAAATCAGTTTTTTGATTGATGTCAGGTTAAACTAATAAATAAATATCCTTCAAGATGTTTTGTCTTACACCTATCTACGTATATATAAACAAGAATAATAAATAAATAAATAAAAATAAAAAAACAGATAAAAAATGATCAAATAATATAGGTCTGGTTTGGAAAACGAAAAAACAAGTTCAACCTATTCTCCCACTATCTTTCATTGGTATTTCATCTTTATCACAAGATGTAATCATTTCCCTGACCTTTAACCTCAAGGCTGAGTGGGGGTGCTGTCTTCATTGAAAAATGTGGCGTCAACACTTAATCACAGGCCTAAGATGATCAGTACTGCAGCAGGAACAACTATGGTCCACCACTGATATACATGCAGTGATCACCGTTTGTTCTAGCTAGAACTGTGTTCTAATATTATTAAAACTCTACTAATAATTTGGTTCTGAACAACCTTTGGACAAACCGTTCTATCAGTGTGAGGGGGTCACTTCTGGAACAGCGTCCCAAGAAACATCAGGGAATGTCCCACTTATTGCACTTTTAAAAAGCACCTTAAACAGTTTCCTAAAAGTTCCCAGTCATGCACTCACTAATTTTATTGTCGTAATGTCATTGTCTGAACATGTGTCTATGTGTTTTGACTGATATTGTATTATGTGATCTTGTGTTGTTTTGTCTTCCAGCCTCAGGACGACAGATGTAAATGAGCAACTATGCTATAATCTGGCTCATTTACAATCTGTACAGAAGTATAAGATTGTTCATTAATGTGCTCTGTCCTGATTAAATACATAAGAAATAAATAAATAAAACAAATAAAAATTTGCCAAAGGAGCCAGGGTATTTTTCACTGGCACAGATCAGAATGAAACAAATAAAGTTGGTGTAATATTTTGTTTCATACATTTAAGGATATACAGAACCAGAGATTCACCTGAAGCTCTGCAAGATGCAAATGAAAAATGTCTTTCTGCAAAAGCTGAAAGTACATCTAATATCTAACCTGAAAATAAGGTTTCCTTGTAAGATGCTATTTTACTTTTTATATTTTGTATCCATATTTTTTTTATCTTGAGTGTATATATTAGTCTATTTTATTGCATGCCTTATACCCACAGTGTTTTAGATAATTTTATAATTTTATTTACCTATTCCATATTATATGTTTCATGTTGCACGATTGTACCACAAAAAATTCCTAGTTTGTGAACTCCTTCACTAACAATGGCAATAAACCTGATTCTAATTCTGATTCTGATTCTGATTCTGATCAAGAACATATGAGAACTCTTTTTTTAAATTACGCCTTTTACAGGAGCCAGAGCCAGTGCTGCAGGGCCCATGTCTAGAACCGCCCCTTTTTATGCCTCTTGGTCTCTCTCAGTTAAAAAGCAAATAATCAAAGTGCACAGCCAGAGCACTTTTCTAATTGTTGGAGAAGGTCATCTATTCAGTTTGATCAAAGCCAAACCGACATGTTTTTTTCAGTGTTTCTGTTGAGTCTCTGTGTTTTCTTCCTCCTTTTTCAACTTCAGCCTCGGAGACCCAAGAACTTCCCACCAGGACCCCCCAGTGTGCCTCTACTGGGAAACCTTTTATCCCTGAACATAAAGGACCCCTTAAATGACATTGAAAGGGTAAGAAGGAAATTGTTGAATGTTTTTAGTTTCCTTTTGTGTGCAGCCACCTTTTAAACAGCTTATTTTTCATACACTACCAGAAATTAACGTGATGCGAATAACTTTCCAACAAGTTTAATCTTCCTAGTGACAAAACGGAAAATCATTTATCTCTTTCATGATACATGTAATTAAATTATTTTAATTGGCCTGGCTGGGCCTGTATACCTCATAAATGAAGTACATCCTTATCATTTTGTTTGCTGTGTATATTTTCCCAGGTGGCCCATTATTGGACTAATAAATGTTCCTGTTCTGCACAATAAGCTAATATTTGATGATATAATTGTTACTTGAAGGTTAAAGAAAACTTTGAACTTTACTACAATGCAGCAAAGTTAAACATTGAAAATCTGAGATTTCCACAATACAATAGTTAAAAATGATTCAATGTGTGTCTTTTGTTAATTAATAGTTTGGATTTTTTGTTTCCAGAAAAGCATTAATTCACATTAATACTTTAAAAGTCAGGATTATCTTTCAGTTTTGATGTAACTGTGAAATAAAGTCTTCTGCTAAAATCAATCCTTATTTAATCTCCTTCAGAGCATGACTTGTTGAGGTCGTTAGTTATTCTTAGATCTCTTTCTGTTGGGGTTGTCCTTATCTTATGAATTGCTGGCTCATTTTTTACTTGTCACGATTTAGTGATCAATCTATGGTGTTTCTTTGAAACATGTTTACATTAAGGATGTGCATGGTTAAGAATGTATTTTCTTTCAGCTCAGACAGTCATATGGAAATGTCTACAGCCTGTTTTTTGGTCTGAAACCAGTTGTTATCATCAATGGGTTTAAGGCCATGAGGGAGGCAATGGTGATCAAAGCTGCCGATTTTGCTGGAAGGGCGCAAAACACTTTTCTTACTGCCATTAATGACAGCAAAGGTATTGTCTGTGTTTTGTAACATAATGCACAAAAAAAGTCAGTAGCAAGCAATTTTATATCTCAGACACTGAAAACAATTAAAATATTGTGAAAAAGTGTTTCATTTTCCCATCCAATTGTTAAAAAAATGTATTGATTGCTAGCTTTGTGTTGGAAGTAGTCCCATCCATTTTTAGCCATTCACTTTATCCTCGAAAACAAACAACATTGTTTAGAAAGCCACTGCTGCACAGCTACATGTATTTTATATGCATAGGTAGGTAAAACGTGTATAAAATTCTAATAAAATTCAGTCTATTTTTGGATAACTCTAGTTTATTTGTTAAAATTTCTCAGGTCAACAAACAAGATTATTCCATCTTTTTGCTCTCTGTATATCCTTTTGCTCTCTGCACAGAGAAGTTGAAGCTTGAAGGCCTTTTTTTCTGTCTCCCGTGTTTATCATAGGTGTGATAACGGTTGATTATAGCCCGCTGTGGAGGGACACTCGACGCTTTATTCTGATGACTCTGAAGAACTTTGGTTTGGGAAAGAAGTCGATGGAAGACAGAATCCATGAAGAGATTCAATACACAATTAAAACACTAGAAAACAACATTGGTGTGTGACCTGTGGTTTTAAACATTGATGCGTAAAGTTGTTTTAAACTCCAAATCAAGATGGTAACTGATGTTATTCTCTTCTGTTTTTCCAGGTAAAGCCTTCTGTCCTCAGTTTGTGTTTCATAATGCTGTCTCCAACATCATCTGCAAGGTGCTGTTTGGAACACGTTATGAGTACGACGATGACACGATCAAAACACTTATTCAGTGCTTTAAAAGGATTAATAAAATACTCAATGGACCATGGGCTCTGGTGAGTCAAAGATCTTTAGCAGGAAAGTAGATCGCTCATCATTCTCAACTCGGACACCTCCTGCTAGGATTCTTGCTTTACTCTTAGTTCTCACATTAATCTTCAAATATACCCTTACTTGCAAAAAAGTTAAAAAACACTGAACTTTATTTTTTCCGAGTTTGAAGATGTTTCGCCTCCCATCCAGGAAGCTTTTTTAATTCAAAATGTCTAGATTAGTGTTGAGTTTCAAGCTTTATAGAGTAGCCCAACAAAGTCTTGTTATGGCTTAGAAGACATGTTAATTGAAACAAAAGAACAGGTTCACCTCTAGTAATGGGGAGTCGTGTGGAATGGACCTGTGCCAGAGGTTTGTTTTTTACCTTGTTTAACTTTTTTGGAATGAATATGACCTGGATGACGTAGAATCTTCACCAGCATATTTCTGAATTTTCCATCCCACCTTACAAACACTCTGCTCTCTTTCCCTCTCTTGTCTGGTTTGTTGAATCCAATGTCTTCTCCATTAAATGCTAAGGTTGATTAACAAGTTGTCTTTATCTCTGGTGTTTTGCATGAAGCTGGGACCATTTAAATGATCATTAGTGATTTACAGGCCAAGGAAAGGATCTTCTTACTATTTTTTCCATAGTATTTGCCATGCTTGTATCAATTCTGCTCCCGACATCTGAATTTTCTTTTATCACCTTCTTTCCTGCTTGTTCTCTTGCTTTCTAATAATCTTCTCTTCCTCCTACTCATCTTCATCCTTGCTCTCCCCACCCCCCATTTTTTCACTTAAAGGATCACTAACAGCACCCCATAGACCAACAGCGCTTAAAGGGGCACTGGTGTGTTTGATGTAGAGTATTAAAGCGTGTTTGATCTGGTAGATTTTACTCAGTGGGCAGCTCGCAATATGGCTATGTTGTTTAAAGTAAAAACCAAAGAAACAAAAAAAAAAATGATAATTTTAATGCTTAAATAGCAGTGTATGTTGGCAGTTTTATTTTATTTCTGTCATTCAGAACCTGTTCCCTAATATTATTGTGACGTTGTCAGCAGTTAAGATAAAAAATCACACAAAGGTATTTAACTTTTAACTTGTATTTTTGAAACTTTATCTTAAGATAAATGAAATTTCTCCACTTGAGGATTTATTATACAAACAGAACCATTTTTTTAATTCAACTGATGTACAGCAATAATTTCTCTTTTCTCACAGCTCTATGACTCCATCCCTTTAATCCGCCGCCTGCCGTTGCCCTACAACACAGCCTTTGAGGATGTTGAGGTAATGTATGATATAAAGTTTGCACATAGGTATAGATACTCTGGAAAGAGGACATTCTCACATTTCTCATGGTGAGAGGTTGGGTGCTATTGGCTTTGAGTTACCCCTGTAGGTTACTGTTCTCCACTGTAATCGTTTTGCTTGTACTTTGTATAAAATCTCAGTGAGTTTCTATATTCCTGGTAGATTCCTGCATGCTTTACATAATGCTGCAGTCATGTTACTGGATTTAGAGTCATGGGTAGATATTTGAATCCTGCAAAAGATAAAAGGTATTTCAAAGATACCCAAGGAAAGGAATCCGGCATTAAGATTGTTCAAACTTGAATAAAGACCAATGAAATTACAGCTATGAGGGCCTGTAATTTTTTCAATATTCAAAGATTTAAAAAAAGAAGTCTCCAGCTGATGTTCAGGACCCTCTGGAAAAAGGGTTACAGTTTCAAGATGCACATTGGAGAAAATGGACTTCATAGTGAAGTTACCTCAAAAAGGCAAAGTTATTAGGATGTTTAAGAAGCAAACAAGACCTGGAAGAATCCCTCCCAGGACTGGTTTGCATAAGGTGATAAGAAGAGTTGGATTTAGGGCTCCTATCAGATTTGGAGAAGTCTGAGAGAGGGAGCAAAGGTTAATCGCCTGGGATGGAAAACAGTAATAATTAATTGGTTACTTGCTGAAAAGTAATTGCGAACAAGGCTCAAACAGAAGCAATTATGCCTGTAGCATCAGATTCTAACTACTGGTCCTTTTCCAGCATTCCCAGCTCAGCATGACATGACATGGCTCGGCTTTGCTTACTTTTTAGGATTTTCCATTAGTAATAATTAGCTTACCGGTACTTATGTGTTTGTATTTAACCCTAATTTATAAACATTGTTTCGGTGAGACTCAAGATCTAATTTATGAGAGAGACTTATTTGAAAAGGGGAAGAAGAGTTGCATAGTTACTTGGATGAGACCCTTTGGATCTTCCAACTGGTCCAAATTGTGTGAAAATTTGCAGGAATTAGATCTGTTGCCATGTTAACAAAAACCTTCAGTGACATTAAAAGGGACACAGGTCTTTTTGGTCTTTTAAAACCACAAATCTCTGATATTACAATGATAAAATTGATATAACAGTAGGTCCCATCCTTCTTTAAACAGGTAAAAAAAATGATCAACAAAAGTAATGAGTATTTTGTACCCTGTAGATAATTACATATACTGCTATTAAAATAAGAGAATGGAAATATTTTTTGGGATAATCTTATTTCTTTGGCAGATCATTTTACTTACCTGCTCAAATCAAGTACAAATTTCCCTTCTTTCAAGAAAACTGTGATTATTCCAATTCACTCTTTGCAGTGTAACTGATATCACACCTAATGCTACGAGGATTTTTAGAAAAAAACACACAATTGTGTTGTTATCTGTGTGCCTTGTTTCATGGCGCATTAAAAAGAGATTCTGCCAAGAAGTTTAGACTTATGAGCGAAATCATAAATAAAAAAAAACAATCAAAAAACAATCAAGAAAAACAATCTAAAGTTATGAAAAGAATTAATAGACTGCTTATATTCTTTGTTAGGTTAATTGTATTGTTTGGGTGACTTACCTTAACAGCAAAATGTAAGAAAGCAAGGATGCTCTTATATATTTTTTCCCCATTGACTTTATAGAGGAAACATTGTTTTAAGAAAGTTCTATCTCTTAGCTTATCCTGGATATCGCGCAAGATTTGGTGAATGAACACAAGAAGACCAGAGTCCCTGGAGAGCCGCGAGATTTTGTTGACTGCTATCTGGACGAGCTCGAAAAGGTGTGTTTGAAAAAAAAAAAAAGCTTTTTGCAAGTTTTACAATAAGGAGTAAATACAAACATTTTTGCTAATTTAGCTTCTTAATTTGCATGCACAAGCTTAGATATCATAAAAGTGTTATACTGACTTTGTGGATCTGCTGATGAAGAGTTTTATGTTAATTTTATGCAACACCTTTCTCGTCTGTGCAAATCCTCACTCATCTGGGTCATGGCAACCACAAAACATGCTAAAATCAGAGGCAAACCGACTTTCTGAACTGACAAAGACTCCTATATAGGTTTTGAAACGTTTTCCAAAAAAACTATAAAGTCCGGTTGCCTTTAATTTACCGTAATTAGGCTGATTGGTGGATTACACCTTTTACAGATAAAATCACAAAGTCCTGTAAATAATGCAAATAACAGAGCAAAAACATAAGCCTTATGAAAAACAATGTGAACTATGACAGGCTTTTATTTTGCCTAAAAAGGGCTTTCTAAGGTGAGTCAAAATGGGGGATTTAATTTGCACAGAAATATTTCATTCAACAGAAAACAATCAAATCCTAAGCATTCTAATTCAGCATTCTACAGAGCTGTGTATTTAAATATTACAGTAAATCCTTCCAACTTTTAGAGTTACTGTTTTCTGCACTCTCAGAAGGGAGGCAGGCATGAATAGATTTGAGCATCATCCTTTTCTCTATATGGAACATCAGACTGTTTGATAAAAAAAAAAAACATCTCTTCTTCTAGAAAGCAGTTACTTTCCTTATGTGCTCTCTTCAGCATATCAAAGCATATCTTCTGCAGAACGTGTAATGAAAAAATAAGCAGAACATTTAGATAAGAGTATGTCTGAATACATTTAACCAAAGTTATTGATTTCAAATAATTTTCTTTGTCTTGGAATATTCAGAGAGATGATGATTCCACGTTCTTTGAGGAGCAGCTAAAAAGAGTCACTCTTGATCTCTACTCTGCTGGGACGGACACCACCTCCAACACCCTTCTGTCTGGGTTTCTATATCTCATGAAATACCCCCACATACAAGGTACACTTAGGCCTAGTCCACAACAAGAACATCATGCTATATTTTTTATAGATGGCTTAGAAAAAAAGGACCAAATACTGGTGGAGCTTGTAAAACTGTCACAGAATCCCACCTAAACCATTCACAAAAACATTGGACGTGCACAGACAGCTCACCCAACGTAAACACAGACTAGATCCAAATACCTCCAATTGATAAGGATACTAAATCATGGCATGGGTGCTTCCACAGTAATAACAGGTGCTATCTGAATAGTGGTGGCAGTTAGTAAGGAACCAGGACCAAGAAGCAGTATGCTTCCAAGTGCCGATACAGTAAGCATAGGCACCACATCTAGACAAGGCTAGATGTGAGTCTAATCTTCTGAGGAGTTAGTAAGATTAGACTCACATCTAGCCTTTTCAAGCAGATGTTCTAATAGGCTGAGCTACAACGCCATGGTTAAAAAGAAAAATCTGGCTGGCATGTCTACAAAGAAACATGAAACTGGTATACTCACTTATCTTCTCATATTTTTTACTCCGGGATAGTAGATGCTTTCCCAAAACATCTTTTTTATGATGTTATTTAAAGTATTTGTTCTGAGTGATCTCTTTTCAGGACAGAATCGGGAGAGAAAATTTAAAGATGTGAACATAGATGTAACGACCCGTGTAGGGGTGGCCAGACCATAGCATGAAGGACCCTTACTCTTCAGATACCAATAAGCCAAAGCACATGAAGTTGAACATTTTATAATGCTATTTATTTTACACAGATGTATTTTTTATTTATATGTTACAAATGGAGCATATGGCTCCAGGGTGAACTATAATGCTGAAAACAACAAACAAAAGGCAACTATCTGACTATAAACAAAAACTTACCTAATTAAAAGTAAATAAACCAAATGACAAAAACTTTCTTCCCTAATTAAGAAAAACATTAGAAAACTAAATCAACATGATTGGCAGCTCATTCGTGTAAACTCTAAAGCTTTACATGGTATTAACAGACAAACAGTGTGGCCTGTTGAAATGAGTTGAGGATGGTCAGCAGGTAATCAACGTCTGCAGCTTTTATATCCATCACCTCCGGAAGGACACCAATTGGACATCTCTGTCATCTTGCAAGAACCAATCAGAGAGAGACACCTACCCACTCATATTTGTATAATTAAGTTGACGACAATAGAGCTTTCTATAACAACCTAATCTAGTCTCTGTCTTAAAAGGGCCTCATGTGAAAACACAAAATTAAAGGACTCAAAATGCATATTAGGATCTTTAAATTGTCTTGTTTTGCTTCCCCAGAACGATGTCAGCAGGAGATAGACCGGGTGCTGGATGGACAGGATAAGGTCTCTTACGAGAACAGACACAACATGCCTTACACGCAGGTGTTGTGCATGCTTCGCTATCTTATTTCACCAAGTGAAAAATTGATTTTAAAACATGTTTTAGTGATTATGATTTTTCATTTACCTTTAAGATTATGATGCAGGATTGCAGTGGACTAACTTGAAAAAAACAAAAAACTTTTTTTTATAAAAAACATGTTTAAAATCGGATTGTTGATGAGGGCAGCTTTTTGAACCAGCACCACAGTCGAGTTCATTTTGCCTTGCTGATATCTGGCTGCTTACTTACCTTCTTTGACTTTGAGCTCTCATTTTTGCTTTTACTAAGAGCCCGAATGCTTACCATAATAAGGAAAATGTTTTCTTCAAGGCTGTGATTCATGAGATTCAGAGGATTACCAGCTTAGTCCCTCTCAGTGTCTTTCACTGCACGACTAAGGACACGGAGCTCTCGGGATACTCCATTCCCCAGGTAGGTGGCAGGTTACTTTGATTTTAGGAGTTATTTAATATAGCTATATGCCAAAAATAAAAAAAGGAAACCTTAGTGTTTTCATTGTCTTTTTTGATTCTCTTCAGGGTACAATAGTCATCCAGAATCTGACCTCAGTGCTGAGAGAGGAGGGACAGTGGAAATTCCCTCACGAGTTCAACCCTGAAAACTTTCTGAATGATCAGGGAGAGTTTTTAAAGCCACAGGCCTTCATGCCTTTCTCAGCAGGTATATGTAGATCTCCGTCTGTGGGGCTTAGAATAAAAAAAGGAACAGGAATACACAGCAAGGTGTGTTGAAATGACTCAATGGCTTTTTTGTGAATCAGGTTTTCGGATCTGCCCTGGAGAGGGTCTTGCTCGCATGGAGCTCTTCCTCATCCTAGTGACTCTGCTGAGGAAGTTCAAGTTCGTCTGGCCAGAGGATGCAGGAGAACCAGACTTCACGCCTGTCTATGGAGCAATTTTGAGTCCAAAACCTTATTTAATGAAGGTCCATCTGAGGTGAAACCAGTTAGTGGTTTTGAGGACGCTCAACTGACTCTATGATAGGGATGGACATATGCCAGATTTTTCCAACCCATTTTTTAGTGCTTGCCAACACTGAGTACATATATAAATGTAAACAAATTTCAACAGTCTGGCTGTTTAAAGTAATGCTGTGCAACTACTGTGCTGCAGCTAGCACTGCAGTAGCCCCTCCTACTGTTAGTGCCATTTTTCCTCTTCTGCTTTATCTTCTTCCTGAATTTGTTTAATTGGTGGTTGAGAGCCACGTGCATAAACACATGATTTAGTAATGATTATGTATTTCATGACAGAAAAATACGATTAAATAAATACTGAAAAAATAATCCACAACACAAAAACTAATACCCCTCAATGCCTTGTTATTGCCTTGCCCACAGTCCATCTCTTCCTTAAGCCTTACCATATCAAGAAGATGAACAGCGGCCTTATTAATTATTTGTATCCTCTTAGTTTTGGATTTAACAAAGAAAATAGCATCAACTACGTGTAACAACTAAGTGTATTTTCTCGTTTTATGCAAATGTCTGGACAATTTTATCCTCCACTGAATCTTGCTCTCTTTGCCCCTTCCCTGTTTCTCTAAGTACTGATTCACTTAGAGAATGAAACTTTCTCACTATCTTTCATCTTCTGCAGAATAATCTCTTTTTTTTCATAACCTCACATTCCCAAAAGGCCACTCTATTATTTCCTCTACTTTGGCTGCACTCTCTCTCCCCACTTACCATATTCATAATCACCATGAAACCTTGTACACCTTTTCTTTTTGCACTCTCTTGCCATATGACCAAAATTCCTGATACCTGTAACATCTCCGAGGCCCAGAATTGTATTCTATTACACTGAACAAAAAACAAAAAAAAAGCAACCCAATAAACACATCCTTTTTCTCAACCCCTCTATTCAATCTTTTTTGCACTTTTTAACTATTTTATTTTGCACCTGTTTGTTCAATACAAGCTTATACATCTGTATTCCCAAAGACGCACCAGAAATAATGCCTCTACGTCCTTGGGGGTCAGACCAGTCTCCTACTTTATCAAATTTACTCCCCTTTGCATTTTTTCCATTTCCATTTCATTGTTTTCCCAATCAGTTTATAAACACCACACCCAATCGTGAAATTAGAATATCTGAGAACTCTGACATTACCCACCTCACTAATTTTCTCTCTAATTATTATGGTAAGTTTCATAGGACTACATTTCTTTATCCCATACACAACTTCAAACATACTAGAATATTTCTCCTCCTTATATTATCCTCCTTACTCTCTGGCTTTTACCTAACTTCAGCCATTTCATTTCCTCTACTTCCCTCTACTTTCTCAAGAAGGACGCGTTTGTCCTTATGTGGTCTTTCTGTTTGCCCGATTTGAAGGATGGGTATGGTGTATCCTATGTAGCCATGGTTATCCCATGATCCATTGCGAGTCCAAGCAAGCTGGCTTCTCTGTGCTCAGAGGGAAAATACACTTGGCACTGTACAGTGGCAAATATTGGAAATGCAGTTTAAAATAATGCAAGTATGTGAATAGTTCCGTCTGAAATGAATGAAAATAGTTGTTTTAATTGTTATTGAGCCAGATATGTGGCAGGTATGGTTTAGTTTATTGAAAGGTTTTTATCTATCCCCCAAACCCATTTAGGGTTTGGGGGATATTTAAGGACAGATTCTAATATATATGCAGTGTAGAGTATAAATCTGATATGATGCAGCTGTTGAAGCTCCTCGAAAATGAAATGTTAAATAAATAAATAAAAAGAAACAGCAGTAAGAAGTTTGGTATTCTTTGTTTTCCTGTTTTGTGTGTCAACCCTCATGGTTGCTAGGAAAAGTGGCTCTATCTGGTTCTTTAGTAGGCCAACTATCTAGTTAAAGAAATTAAAAACCCTACCTTGTTTTCCTTTATCCTGTTAACTCAACAAGATGTTTTGCCCCTGTTCGTGTAGTGAGGCTAAAACTGCAAATAATTGGATCAAGTATCTGTACAGTATTTTTACTGATGGTTTTAACTGCATGGTTTTAACTGCATGGTTTTAACTGCATGGTAGGACTTGCTAAGTGGTCTTTGCCAAGTCAATAAACAGATTAAAACGGAACTCTTTGTTATTTTTGCCATCACAGCAAGCATGGGGTTTCCCCAGCTAAGTTAGCACAATCGTTGTTATTATTCATAATTCATTTAATCATTATAGCATTCTCTTGCTGTTTTAAATGGCTGTCTGTTGTGTTCAGAGAGTTAGGACCCAGAATTTATCCAGAACAAGCAAGCAAGGTTTAGAGACAGTTTATTTATAGGTAAACTGCAGCAGGTTGTAGGGTTATCATTAGAGTCTCTGATAGGAACCTCTGGAGGTGGATGGATAACAGTGAGCACTGGCTCCAGCTGGTTGATAGGCATGCTAACGATCCCCGCTCTGATCAGGGGAACCCTGAGATGGGCACTAGCTGAGATGTTCTCTGTGGTCAGGGGTCAGACAGGGGATCAGAGCCGTGATGACGATTACTGACAAAAGGTCCAGGAGGAATTTCCAAAATCTGTAGTCAGAAATGAGGTCCAGGGTAAGAGCCAGGTGATACGAGGTCTAGAGAGAATCCAGAGGGAAATCCAAGGTAGAGTCAGGGTTCAGATCCAGGTCCAGTAACAGGCAGGCTTACAGATCAGACAGGGGTCAGGCTGACCAGGTAATCAGGAGACAGAGCAGGTCAGGCAAACAGGCAGGCAATCAGACCAGTCAGGGGTCACGCAGCCTCGGTTGTCTAGAGACAGAACTGGTCAGGCAGTCAGGAGCAGAATAAATCTCACATATGACTCAAAATAATTTGGTCTGGTCTGGTTTGATCTGGCTGATTATATACTGATAGGTGCAGGTGGATCAGATGAGTTGTAGCCAGAACGGAGCAGAGATGCGCAGATGTGTCTTGTGAGGAATCAGACCAGCAGTGCCAAGATCATGACACAGGCTGCGTCCAAACCTCCCCCCCAATCACTATATAGGGCACTATATAGTAGTTACGCCATTTTAGATGAGTGTCCGAAGGTCTAGTGGACGAAAAAGTAGTGGACTCCAATTTTCCACAAGGCACCTTGAAAAGTAGTGATCATCCATGCTCACTAGACGAGCAGATATATCCCGGAATGTTCAGTTAACATAGTGAACTCAGTTAACTGAGTTCACTATAAAGTCCACTATATAGCCCCACTTTATTTGGTGATTGAGGGATTTCGGGGTTAGGGCGGACATTCAGACACAGTCATTGTCATTCTTTGAACCTTGGTAAAAGAAATCCCTTAGAATTTCTACACTTTGTTTCTACCTCTCGCAAATGCTGTTACAGGCCTACATTTACAAAAACAGTATACCAAATATCACAATACATTTACTTGTTTACATTAAGTTACAAAATTTTAATTCTTAGTCCTTTCATTGCCTATGTTTTTTTTTTTTTTGTGGCAGATGTTGAAAAAAAATACGAATTCAATTTAGAAAGAACAAAACAAGATGCTTTGTGATTATATTGAAATTATGATCAAATATTTAGCAAAGATTAATATCAAATGTATTAGGGAGTAGGATTTTTAAATCAGCCAATGATGTTTGGGGGGAATTGAAGAAAAATGCATGTCCCCTCCAGTCCAAAGTGTGGAGGTAATAAGAAATCAAAGGCATCATATATGATTTCCTGCCCATACCTCAGCACAACATTCCCTTCTGACACTGTCATTTAAAATGGATTTTCAGGTATTCAGTCTCAACCATCTGATCAGCTGAAAAGTCCATAAATAGCTGAAAGTCTCAGGCTAAAAGAGGCTATTGTGTGAAATTGGATTGTATTTAAATTTCAAAGAAACCATCATTCCATCTGATATACAGTAGCACCATCTAGTGTTTTGAAATCTAAAATACATAAAACCACTAAGAGAAAGTCCTCTTCACCTGCAGGATACATTTAAGTATCCTCTCTCAGATGAATGCATCTGATAGTCATCTATTCAGCTAAAGCATATTTACACGTGTTAGTCCTAAAAAAAAATCATTGATTGTTTATGTACAAACGTTACATAGAACTGAACAGATTTCTATCTAACAATCATTGTTGTTTCAGTATCATTGGATCTAATGTCAGACATGTCTCTTTATGCAGCCAACCAGCTTCTTTATCTGTGTTCTCTAGTCTATTGTACAACTTGGAACACAACTGGGTAGTTTTTACTTGCTGGTCAGCATTTTTTTTTTATTTATGTGAAAAATGCAAAATCATTTGAAGATGCAAGCATCACTACACTGAATCTAAGTAATGTGAAAATACAATCATTTATTCTAAAAGATTGACATTTATGTAATGTGTTTATCAAATGCAAAAAATGTTTAACTGCTCCAACAGCAATAGATTCCATATCATATTATCAACACTTTAAATCGTTTAAAATAGCAAAATTATTTAAGTGGCGATAACTGTCAATTTCTTTTTGAAGACTCATTAATTTCGTTTAAATTTTATTATCACATTTGGGCGTAGTTTATTCATATCTTACATTGGTGACACAAAACTTTTCCTTTTATCTCTCTTCCAATAGTTTAATTTCACTGATGTTTGGTCAGTCATATAAGTTTAATTACATTTTTCAACAAAGGATATTTTAAATGTTTTTCCAGCTTATTAAGAAACTTGCATCTTGTTTCCCTTTATTATGTATTCTTACAAGTTTCAATCAATATACACACAAACTTTATAAGATTGATTTCATTATATTCCATATGGGTGCGAAGGTTATGGTAAAAATCTACCAGAAGTAATTCTCAAAAATCCTTGATGTGGTCTGCTCTGTATCTATAAACCGAAAAATAAATTGTGTTTTGGAGATGTTTAAAAGTCCCAAATAGTAGTTTTTAAAAGCCAGATGAAAAAAATAAAACATACTTATAATTTGTGCATCTCTTCACAATTTAATATACTCTAATAAAGGTGTGGATGACTATAAATAGCTAGACCTATATAGGATTTTTTTTCTGAAGCACAAAAAAAAACTCATTTGATCTTAGTTTTCATAATAATGCAATTTAGTTTTTTTCCACATTATAACAGTTACAGTCACTCAGGTATAATACAAGATGCATCTTTTCTGTATGAACACAGTGACAGTGAGGCCAGTGGTGTCCGGGTCAACCAGCACCCCTTTCATGGTTTACAATAGAACCTGTTTTGTGTCATCAGTGTATTGTTGGACTCTTTGGATTGTCACAGAGAGGCCACGTGGGGGTTGTCTTGTATTCTGTGTGCTGACCTGGACCTTCTGTGAAAACGTTTAGTTGGATGATGACAGGCGGTGTAGGATGAGGAAAAATCTTTTGCTGTAAATAGAGGAAGAAACATTTGTCACAGTCAAACAACTGAGATGGATCCAAAGAGGCAAACCTGGGATTATCAGTGAGGAATCACTCTTTAACATGGACTAATCAGGGAAGCTGCACTTTCAACACATAAAGAAGTTACCATACATTTGGTTTCCCTGCTGTGAAGTGGACGAGGTGAGAAAATGCAGGAGTCTCCAGGTATCGCAGGGGCGGATGGCAACTATGCCAACAACGTGCCAGCTTTCCTCACCAAGCTGTGGACGTTGGTGGAGAATCCAGAAACCAACCACCTCATCTGCTGGAGCGCTGTGAGTCCAACCCATAAAAAACAAAACAAAAAAACTATATATAATATGGTTGATAAATGCTTTGTAATAAGTTCTTAAAGCCAAAATAATTCAGATAATGTAGTAGTAAATAAGATCTGAATGTGTTTTTTTTTTTTTGACTGAAAGATCTGAAAATAAGATTAAAGATTCAACATTTGACGTGTGGCGTTCTTTTCCAACCTACCACGATAACAGATGCTATTATGAGCTCAGTTGGATATTCTGAAGTAGATAGACATCTTTGCGAATAGTCTCATGATGCCTGTATTAAAAAAATATATATATATATATATATTATATTTGAGCAAGAAGACCTTTGTTACCCTAGCAAAGCATATCAGATGCGCAGGCTTTACATAACATAGGAAAGTTTTCCAGGTTTATTTCACTGCAAAATGTAGAAAACCAAGACTTTATTTACCCGTGGCATAATTTCAAATTTGCATGAAGAAGAATTTACTTGGAATCATATTCCAGATAAGAAACATCATTGTGAATAACACTATAAAAACAAACAAACTTGGGAAGATATTGCTAGATTCTCTCGCACACATTGATTTACTCTACATTTTTGAAAAGTACATTTAGAAGACAAGATTTATAGCAATAATTATGCATTAAGGTCCAAAATGGGCTGTCTTTAAGACATCATCTTTTCCACTGACCTCCATTTAATTTTCATCAGCACAATGAAAAACTACATTCTGCAGCTATTGGAAAGGCTAAAGAACAGGGGTCCTGCTGATGATGCTGACTGGTCATGCGGCCCTGACTTGCTCCCCATTGCAGAATGCTGTAAATAGGATGATATCAACGTGACACCTGGCAGGAAAAAAGAGGCAAAATAATATCCAAAACGCTTCGTAGAGCCTTACTCCCTAAAGGTTTGAAATATTTCTAACAAGTAATAAAAACCTATTGAAATTGAAAAAAAATAGTAACAGACCAAACTTCTTTTCAGTAAAGACAAATAAAAATGTTTTGATCGGATGAAATGCTTATTTAGTTCCATACAAGACAAAAGTTTTCTTGTTGCCTGGGGCCTTAAGAAGACTGAACAGAAACACACAGAAAAAGAAACAAACACAGAGAAGCACTGATTCAAGAGTATATTCTGTTTTAAAGCAAAATACAAAGAAAATTGTCGATGGTAACAGAGCTTCTTTAATGGCTTCCCCTAGCAGGAACAACACAGCAAAAAACACAAACTTTGAGCCACATATTTCTTCAGCAATTTCCTATTTCGGTAAAATTACTGAATGTTTTAAGGTTTTCCCAAGTAAATTTTGTCCTTCTTAACTCGTAGGTGATTCTATATTTTGGCTCTAACAGATATATTTAATACATCACTCTCCACCTACTGACAGCATCAACATACATACATTAGTTAATATGATTTATTTATGCATTCATCAACTATGCCTTGAAAATATGTGAAACGTATTAATTGCTTCTCTCTCTATTTGCTATTTATTGTTACTGAATTTTAGTTTTTAATTGACTTGTGTAACTTTTGTTATCATTGTGTCATGTTTGCCATGTACCTTAAAAAAAGTTTTATTGGTCGATCTCTTGTTAGCATTAGGCTTTTATTCAACTGTAGTATTGAACTGTTATAATTAAACACAGTCATATTGGATTATAAATTCTTTATTGCCATAAATGTCATGCCATGAATTGCAAATTTGGAAAGCAGTGGTAAAAAGTAGAGTGAGGAAGTGGGGATTATGTCCTCCAGCAGCCTAAGCCTATAGCAGCCTAACTAGAGATGGCGCAGGATATCCTAAATCATTCTAACTATACGCATTATCAAAAAGGGGATTTGTAAGTCTAGTCTTAACCTACTAAGGCTAGAGTGGTATCAGAAGCAATCTCTTCCTGTGATTAAAAAAATGAAATAAATCAAGAATAGCACCATAATTATCAGAGCCACATACAACCTTTAGGTACCATTGTAAAGGTAAGAACTACCTGTTTAACTGTTTGGATGTTCTATCTTTTGTAGAGAGAGTCACCTATGGAGCTAGTTTACTTTTACCTTTGCTAACATAGAACTTTTTTTGTGGCAATGGTTCTATGTTCCTTTTACATGTCTGCTACTTTCTCTTTGAAACCCCAGTTGGCCTTTGCAAAAAGCTGCTCAGGCTGAGTCTGGTTCTACTGGAGGTTTCTTCCTGTTAAATGCAAGTTTTTCCTCTCCAGTGTCGCTGTATGCATGCTTGGTAGGGGGGATCAACAGCAAAATGCAACCGAATGGCAACTTTCATCACATGATCATCCAGAAAGAAAAAAAATCCTGCAAGAAATCCTGCAAAAAAAAAAAGAAAAAAAAAAAGAGGAGTGGTGGCCTAGTGGTTAGAGCATTGCACTTGGGTCTCAGAGGATCTGATTTCAAGTCCCACATACTCCCACAGACTGCCACTCTTGTCCTTTGAGCAAGACCCTTTACTCCACACTGCTCCCTGGGAGCCGCACAATGGCAGCCCACTGTTCCCCAAAGGGATGAGTTAAATGCAAAGAGTTCATTTTGTTGCTTGTGACAGTGTAATGGCAATAAAAGTTTAACAAAAGGACAATGACTCAATGGAATCAGCTGGTTTTGTCTAGATGGAAAAACTTAAACCAATGTGTTTGGATGATTTGATTTTATTGTGTCTGAAAAGTGCCTTGAGATGAGGTGTGTGTTATTGAATGGAGCTATATAAATAAGCTAAATTCTTTTGACTAAATTTTGATGGGCCAGGTGTTGTTGTTATTTTGGCACAATGACAAAACTGTGCCTAATGCCTGAGTTGTTAACCTCATTAAAGGAAATCTGGTTAAATAGAAATGCTAGTTTCCATTGGAAGATTTCCGCCTATGACAGAGATTTTGTTTGTGACATTACACATTAAATGATCATCTGTGCTCAGAGCGGTTCATGCAGATAGGGAAGTCACTTTTATAACTGTCTGTTTATGTACTTTATGTACACCAAATCATTACAAAATGCTCTCAAGTTCTGCAAAGTTTTACACTGAATGCTCTAAATAAAACAACCGGGATTGAAACCCAGGTCCCCAAATTACGCTTAAAGACTTAAACTATTTTGCCATAGGGGTTGGTTACATTTATAATCTTGTTACAAAGAGAGACTACAAATCTTGACAACATTTGAAGAAATTAACAATAGGTTGTTTGAAAGGAATAACTGTACTTTTCAAGACTACAATGAGGGGCAAGCAGCAGTTTTTTTTTCTTTCCAGAAGCATTTTTCTGGAATGTTTGAAAGAAATTACATCTTGACAACTTTTTTAATTTTTTTATTTTTAGAAATATTAAAGGATTTAGAGAAAAAAAAAACATTGGGCCATGTTTGACCAATTTGAACAGAAGGTGAAGAGTAGGCATCACTTGACTTTTCAGACCAATTAAAAATAATAGGTAAATAAAGTGATTTGATCCAAGTACCGGTACATGTTAAAAATCTCCATAACAGTTATTTGTCAGTTTGTCTCGATGAACCCCAACTTAATGTATCTGAATATTTGGTATTTTAAATCAAAAATGTTATTGCAGTAATCTGTGGGTTCCTAAAGATAAACAGAAATAAATTTAAACAGCATTTTGGTGGATTTATGCTTCAGTTCTGTTCTCCTTTTCCTTTGAAAGATGTGTTCAGTAATTGTCTTCGGAACTGACAGCCCTCTCACTCTTTTATAGACTGGAACCAGTTTTCATGTGTTTGATCAGGGACGCTTTGCCAAAGAGGTTCTACCAAAATACTTTAAACACAACAACATGGCAAGCTTCGTTCGACAGCTCAACATGTGTGAGTAAGCCTTTTTGCCTTCTCGTTTAACTTCATTTCATCATCCTATTTACTTCTCTATTCTGCTTGTTTTCTAACAGATGGTTTCCGTAAAGTGGTTAACATTGAGCAAAGCGGCCTGGTAAAGCCTGAAAGAGATGATACAGAGTTCCAACATCTTTACTTTCTACAAGGACATGAGCATATGCTGGAGCACATCAAGAGGAAGGTATGTATGCCACCACGCCCTCCCAATATCATAGGGATATCTTCAGATAGTTTAAGGTAAAATATGAAAAAATAAAGAAATAATTACAAAACTACCAAATTGTTATAATATACCACATTGAAATTGTAAATTTTGAGTATTGAAACAGTAACTTTGAGGTTCTTTCCCTTATTAAGTAACAAAGGAACATCTCTGCTTACCTTATGAACCAATAAAATGCCAATAATCCAATCAAAAACAAATTATAGAGCACATCTACATTTCTACAATGATATGCATATTGCTCTTATAGACCCGAAACACTCTCTATTTTTTCATTTCTTTTTTGTTTTGTTCTTATAGTCAGCTGAAAAATTTTGTAGCATTGTCTGTTGTTAGCATAGAGGATCCTCTGTCAAAAGATAATGCCGTTGCAAGGGCCATGTCTTGGAAAAATTTAGGAACTTCTGCATTGCCATTTATCATTAACATTACACAGCAGAAATGAATCATCACACAAGCTGTTTTCTCTGTAAATATAATTCTAGCCAGCCTGCTGAAGCAGACATTTGTAACAACCCATGTCATCTAATGATAAAGAAATCAACACAAATTAGGCCATTAATACATTTATATCTAGTAAAGTAGAATGACAGAGGAAATTGTATTGAACACACCTTTTCAAATTGAAGTCCTATGGGATAAGATAACTGTCAATAAGATGGTATGCATAGGTGTCTGAATTTGTAAATTAAAGAATGTTCACAAATTCAGACAAATATGCTTTTTTTCTTTAACAGTTATCTTACCCCATAGTCACCATCAACACAATATATCTAAATCTTGAACCATTTGGGGCCTCCTCTATGCCAGCAGGTAGCCCTACTGGGTCATCCTTCCAGCCTTTTCCTGTTTCTGCAAGACTGTCTGTTTGGGATCATGGGCTTGCTGAAAAATATCTTGTTGTTTCCTTTCGATACTTAACAAAAATGTCTCTACATACCTCCCTTCATACTTGCATTGATTATGTGAAGTCCAGTACCATAGACGTAAACAAATCCCCAGGCAATCATGTTTCATGTTTTCACCTCCAACCTTCACAATTGGCATGGTGTTTTTTTGTAATTTTGTTTACAATAGTCTCCAATGACTTTAGTTTTTGTCTGTTATGATTTTTTTTCTCCCTGTACTTTATTGGCTTGTCCTGAATCTCAAACGTGCATCTTTAAAACAAGCTTCTTCAGCAGTGTTTTAGTAAATAGTAAGCACGCATAAGAGAATAAGGTGCTTTTTTAAAATTACATATTATTTAGAGAATATGCAAGGAGCTCGTCATGACTCATCATTGTCTGTTGGAAAACTCCCCTGATTCATTTGATTTCTATGTTAAATCATTTGGGGTGCATATGATAATGTTTGGCTTATGGGGAAAGTAGGTTTGTTTCACTTTCAAAATGTATATAAATTTAAAACACAAAATAAAAAACTTTATTATAGCTTGGAATATAAATCTCATGAACCAGATATCTGATCTGGTATGAATCTGATCAAATTAAATGAAGTTTCATAGTTTTTTATGCTTCTTTTTTTGGTTTTATTTGTAATCTATTGTTTCCACATGTTCAGGTGTCTATTGTGAAAAGCGAGGAGACCAAAGTTCGCCAGGAGGACCTCAGTAAGCTACTCTATGAAGTTCAGCTCCTGAGGACACAGCAGGACAACATGGAGTGTCAGATGCAGGACATGAAGCAGTGAGTAAATACTTTGTTTAGTTTTTTACTTATTTAAATAGAACTGCTCCTTAAATAATTCAGACGGCTCTGCAATGAAGCGTTCAAAATGCTTCATTGTTTTGTTGGAATACCAAAGCAGTTTTACAGCATCATGAAGACACTGACATGCTTTATGTTTGACATGGTGCTTTTTTTTAGGGTATGCTTCTGTAGATTTAAAAAATGTAATTTTTGATTCAGTGGTTCACAGAATAGAATCATGAAACCATCTTCTTATATAGCTGTGGTCAAATTAGATCTGACTTGTGGTTTTGAGTCAGTTGTTTGTATCTGTATCAGAGTCCAGGTGTGAGTCCTGTTATGCAGAATTTAGTATACATTTCACTGGGGAAACGGAAATCTTGATGGCTGCCACAAAGTCTCGCTGCAGGTGGTTTTCAGTCAGTTAAAGGTTCAAAGCATTGCTTGTTTGGAAGTTTTCTGAACATTTCAATCTGAAAAACTCACACGAAGAGAAAAGACAATTAGAAGAAATGTATTGATACAATCACTTGGTCTTTGGCGCTCAGACATCAGCAGGAAACATAGCACTGAATTTTGATAGATACGCATGAACAGGACTAAATAGTGGAGAGGAAAAAACTCCCCATTAGGAAGAAACCTCTGGCAGAACCAGGCTCAACATGGCGGTCTTCTGCCGGTTAAAATGAGACGTGGAAAGCAGTAAAAGTCCGGGAGTAACGAAACTTTGATGAACCTTTAGCTACATTGTTGGAGGAGGGTTGAAACGGGGTCATCTGAATGAAGTCACAGCGCAACCACCGCCTGCGCACAGGAGCAAACGTGTTGCAGATCGGGGGCCTTTTAAGATGAACTTTGGATGCCGATTGGCTTTCGTGGAGGTGTGGTTCAAAGCTGATTGGCTGTGTCATAGGTGGATGTAGGCGAGCAATCAGTTTCTTCAGTTGAACTTCCATCTAGGCACCATTTTCACTTAGCCATATTTCTAACATGCTATAAAAGGTTTTCACCAACAGTCCCATATATTTCCAACTTCTCTATCTGAAGCACATCTGATAAAACCAATGAAGCCTTCGATAGGTCATCCACTATAGGTCATTGTTTTCATTTGAGTAATTAAAGCATTACTGTTTGACTCTGTTATTGTTAGGAAGAACATTCTTTGGTTTTGCAGTAAGTCTAATTTGAAATAAGGGTTGAATCATTTTAGATAAAACTTTCTATGAATAAAAATTTTAATAAAAACTTTGCGACTTGTAGTTCTAACTTTCAGCACCATTACAGTTAATATGTAAAACTTCGAAGTTTGAAATTTCAACTTCTGAGGACAAATGGAACATACCATTAGGGTTTGGTGTAAAAGTTAAAGGACTAGTGGGGGATGTTCTTTTTTCCGGGGGGATCATCAAAATAAGTGGTCCTCCTAATTGTCAATCATTCTAGCGATATGTTTATTTAAGTCGTTCACTTACCGGTGGTGAATCTGACATAGTGGAAAAATTGCAAATCTTCTTTTGGAAAGTAAGCTTGTATGAGCAATGCAAACAGCAACTTTTAAATAGAGTGTGCACAAATATAAATGGGCTCGTGCATGTTCTCGCAAAGGTTTAATAGGTGTTCCCTCTTGGAAGTGGGTACAGGGTTGTGCATGTGCATTTTTTTTTAAAGTGGATAGGGCTTTTCAAAAATTTGCACAAATCTTTCACTATACCTATGGTCAAGGGAGGAAATTAAGTTCCGTCCAGACATGTCAACCTCCACCCCCATGACCTTCTTCACTGACCGCCCTGTTTAGAGGCCTTGGTTTTTGTGCCAAACCAAAAAATAAAAAAGACTGTAAACATGTTTTGCCCATTTTTAAGAATGATGAGAAACTACAGTGAGCAGAAGGAACAATTACATCTCATTTGGTAATTTGTTGCTTTAACACAAATATCAACCTTTTCTTCATCTTCATGTAGAATTTGTTAAAACACTAAGTGGGGGGTGGGTTGCAGCTGGAAATGATTGTGAACCTCCGCTCTGATTCCTAGAATTAAAGAGTCAGAGCTGCTTCTGGGCTGTCAGGTATTCTCCTTGTTATGGTGGAACGAAACACTCAGCAGATGATCTGACGTGTTCTCCAGAGGCCATTGATGCTGAAAATAGCTGCTCGGGGGTCCATTGTTTGAAGGAACGCCTTTGTGCTCAGTATTGTTTGCTGATGTGAAGAGAGAATGTTCACCCCATCACCTGACTGACATACACTCGCATGGTGACAAACTGAGAAATGGGAGCACATGTGTTCCAGTAATGTGTTTCTTTCATTTTATTCAAAATCCTGACGTATAAAACATCTTAATGATAATGCACAGACCAGGTTACTTTCATTGTTCCTATTTCATAAAACTGATGTGAGCTGAAACAACAGTGTTAATAGTTTTTATCTTCCTTTCAGCAGCCTTCTGAAAACCTGCATATTTGCTTTGCCAGTCTCGATAAATCAATTTGAAAATAAAGACATTCTGGTATATCATGTTGCAAGAGAACAATCAGACAGCTCAAGTAGTGCTGAAGATTTTATTTCAAGCATATATTTCTCTATATTATGCAATCCACAGAAACACCGAAATACACAGATATAATCCTATTGTAATATAAAGCTAAAAAAAAAAAAAAACTGAATTGTGATTGTATGACTTAGCAGCTTATTACTGTCTTGCAAGAGCCAAAATAAATATTTTTTTAATCCTTGGTTTGACAGTTGACAGAGTTGATCTGGGTCATGGGAACAACAAAACAGGTTTTAATCAGAGGCAACTGTGTTTTTGCAAGGACTAAACTTAATCCAAACAACAAACTATATCAAAACAGGAGAAAAACGAGTTGGTCACTGATTTGCATCAGACTTTAGGGAGGTACACCATGTGCTTAAAGGAGATGGTGACAAAAACATTTTTAAAAAAGTGTCATTACTGCATGCCCAGAACTTGGTAAAACATATTTTAGTTCTTATGCTTCACTAATCTGGGATAAACTCCCAGAAAACTGTGAAAGCGCTAAGTTTCCTCAAATCAAGGTTAAAAGCCTGTTTGATCATAGCTTCCTTTGGCTGTTCACGTTAATATGTTCACTGAAACATCATTCATTTAATTGCGCTCCAACATTTCTTTGAGTGACTCTACGAGATCACTTCTATGTGCCTTTCTCTGTTTTTTTGTAATTGCATTACTGACCTTGAACAAAAAGAAATGTCTGACCCTGATTAAAGATAGAAGGAAATCTAGCTTATTTCCTGCTGTCTATGTAATGTAATATCGGTTCTAGGCCATTCAGTGATTTATAGATTAACAAAAGTATATTGAGTCATATCTTCTGGGATGGATAGGCTTTAGAGTTAGGTCAAAGTGCTTTACTTTCGTAGTTTTAGTAAGGACATGGACAATTAGTGAAATTTTGGAGTAAGAGATACAGTTTGTTCTTTGTTTTTCAAGTTTAGAAATTCAGATCATTTTGCTTAGTATTTGGCAGAATTTTGTTCCAAACTGTATAGTTCGGTTCAAACATGTTGTACATCGCTCTAAGAACTTCAAGTAAATCACTTTCTTATATATATACATATCCTCTCTGATCATGATATTCCAAACACACTGTTTAGATTTGCGACGTTGACATTGTTCACATTGATCCTGCACCCACTGAGGTTGCATTTGATTTGCGTTGGGCCACCTTACAGAACAAAACAGCTGTATGTATATATATAAATATATATATAAATATATATATAAATATAAATATATATATATATATATGAGTCAAAGCTGTATAACAGACTTTCTAAACAGGCTCTTGTTTGTTGCTCTTGCCTTGCAGGCAGAACGAGGTTCTGTGGAGGGAGGTGGTCTCACTGAGACAGAACCACACCCAGCAACAGAAGGTCATGAACAAGGTGAGCTTATGTCTTCATAGAAATCATTTACAAGGGAGTCAAACAAAAACAGAGCAATTGAATTAATGGTGATGGGAGGAAATCTTACTCCACAGGTTTTAGATCAGCAAATTATTTCAGTTCTGCTTATTACATTCCCCTAAATTTATGTTCATACATCTTAAATTAATCCAGGTTTTACTTATATTCCAGAATGTAGCCACTCGCATCTAAGCTGAGATTAATGCTTACTTGTAAAAAAATGTTTGAAATTTTTAATCTTTATTTTCCTTCTCATCAATGAATAAAACTGATTTAATTTTTTTTTGTAACTCAAATTCTGCACAAACCCAGAGGTTCTATTCTCTTGTATAAAAATGTACTAAAATAATTTTTTTCTTTGTTAAAACCAGCTGCCAAAGTGATTGTTTACTTTTGACTCAAGAGGTGTTTTTTTTTCTTTCTCCGGCATTAAGAACGATGCTGATTCATGCTGTGCTTTTTCTCTCCTAACCAGCTGATCCATTTCCTGTTCAGCCAGATGCAGTCCAGCACACCCAATGCCGTGGGCCTGAAGAGAAAACTGTGAGCACGCACACACACACACACACCCACACCCCCAGAGCAACAGTCAACAAAAATGGGACAAACAGGGCAGCTGCCTCAGCTGACAAACCAAACGATCAAACTGAACAGGCGCCATGAATGGAGACAAGTGCTGAATCAGTCAGTCAGGTGCTTCACTCACAGTGAAGGCAGCACACAGTGCATGACCCTGTTGCAGCCAATGTGTTAAAGTGCTGGCTCAGCTCTGAATCTATGAGCGAACAAGGCCAGGATGAGAAAGGCGAGCCGTGCCCTAATACAAAAAAGACTACAAAAAAAAAACATAGGATTTCCAGGTCTGTGGCACTATTAGTAGATGCCAATGAAGGTTTTCGTCTTTAATCTTTCTGAAATCCAGGTGTTTTGGGTTATTTTCTCATCATCTGGATTATTCATAGAGTATTCTTACAATAATTTTGTGGGCCGCCTACTCCAAAAACCAGAAGTAAAACCTGCAAAAGCACATCACCATATTCTCAGAACTTCCTATGATGTTTAACCCTTTCGTTTGTTGCATTAGTCAATATAAATGTTGTCTCACATCCAGGAGGTCTCAGGTTCCAATCTCTAGAGGGTTCAGGCTGCTTTTGGTAGTTAACTATGTGGAGGATTTTAAAGATCTACATGAATTATACAACTTAAGTTAAAATTCCAAGTTAAATATGTTTTCGGTTTTTGTTATTTTTTAATTCAGTTTTTAACTTGTGGATACATTAAGAAAGAATTCATCTTAAAACACTGGGGGGAATATGCCCAAAAACTTTGACTCCTTATCACATTTGGATTGTGACTGGCATGACAAATGTTTACGTAAATGTACTGTAGATTGAAAATGTCCAAATAACTATTCTCTGGAGAGATGAATTAGATCTCTACCCTCTAAGTCGTCCATCCATATCCCTTTATTTGACAAAGTGTTTGGGTTAGAAAATCTCTTTAAGCCCTTGATTCAAAAAAAGCATAGACATTTCATGGTTTTCCTTGAAAAATATATACATTTCTTAAATTGCATTAAAACCTGTTCAAATTTAATAATGACTTATCTTATGATATGAATTTAGAATCCAGTAGCTGCTTTCTTATTAAAACTATTTACTGTAGCTTTTAGTTGGATATGATTAAGATTATTATATTGTGCAAAGAAAAGTATCGCTCCCTCCCTTTTTCTTTTACCTCATGCTTAACAGTTTTGGATCACCAAACAGATTGTGATATCAGACAAAGATAATTTCAATTAAGACAAAAATCAATTTTCAAATGATGATTTCATCCTGAAGGGGAAAACTTTACCACAAACAATTATTGGACCCTGAAGCTAATACATGCTTTTAACTCCCTTCACAGCATATTAAAGCTTTTAGCATCCGTTGCTAAAGTTGTTTTGATAGATGTGGGAGAAAACTGGTAAGATCATTAGATAATATTTTAGCTTGGGAGGCCTGTTTGCAGTCACGCAGCAGCCTCTCAGCAGTATTTACATCTGGACTTTGACTCCTTTTTGTACCATTCAGATGAAGATTTGATGCATTTTTGCTTAAAGTCTCAAACTCATGACAAATATCAACAACACCAAGATGACCAATACTTGAAGCAGCAAAGCAGCTCCAGACCATCATACTGCCACCACCCTGCTTCACTAGTGGTATGGGGTTCCCTTTAGTGTACAAGATGAATCTTAATTCCTGAGGATGCAAAAGATTTTTTTTGGTAGATGTGAGGTGGACCTTCCTAACCATTTATCTTGCTTAGCAGAGGTCTTAGCCTTTCAACCCTCCTATTGTTGCAGCCTTCTGTTCCAACAACCCCCCCCCCCCCCAAACACACACACACACAAAGGCAGTGGGTGGTAACAGGTGGTTTTTGGTTTTGCACGCACCTGCAGCTTGACTTATTGTGAAAGCAAAAAAGTCCCAACTACAGTACCATTACTAAAAATGTCTTGGAACTTAGTAGAAACGAAATTTATTCTTTTAAGCTCCTAAAAAAGTGGGGGGGAAAAAAAATCATTTTTTAAAACCTCCAGTCCACATCAGACATTTACCACACAATCCCCCAACACATGGTCTGCTCTTAATCACTCAAATTAATGGGAGGTTCTAACAATTAACAACTTACTCTTAACAATTCCAAATCTAAAAAATAAAGTGGTGCTGCGCCGCTTGTAGTAGACTTGAAGTGCTGATTGTTACCTTGATTGATGAATTTATGTCTGACTCTCCATTGCCAATTAAACATCTGTTTATTGCTTATGTTTCTTGTAAAAGTCAATCCAAAATCCAACAAGCAAACATCTGAATCTGCATGCATGGCACCGTGTTGCTTCACCACTCAAAAACTTTTTCCCGCTTGCGAGGTGGATAGAAAAGCTTTTGTTGCCCTTAATAAATAAATCATCATAACTGTGTATTGTCTAAGGCTAAATGTTTCCTAATATAATTTGTAGGTCATTTTAGCTTTAAAAAAATAAGTAAACATGAAATAATTTATCATTTACATAATAATTTTAATTTAATTTTGTATAATAAAATGATAAACATAAACTAAGTCATATATTGAATTGAACTTGAACTGAGTTTAGCTGAAATGCCAAAACTTTGAGTGTCTGGTGTGAAGGTAAGCATATATTGTCCTGAAAGTATTGACAAATACAGAACTTTGACAAAAAATCTGATGGTCTTCTGTTATTAATAGAGTTATGAGTCATTCCTTCCTGTAAAGCATCCTCTGCCAATTATTCAGGCTTTGAGTGCTCCTAAATGAAGTATTTTATTCCCATTAGGCCTCTGATGTTGGATGATGGCTCTCCCAGCCCTTCTCCTCCCAAGTTCAGCCACCATGTAGAGTCAGTACAAGAATCTTACTACATCCACTCGGTGAGTATAGTAAAATATAACAAAGAAAATGACCTAAGTGTAAATAAGCATGAGCAGATTTGTTTGAATATCTATCTGCAGTTATTAATGCTCTTTTGACTTTCTCAATGACATGTCTCTATCATTACTGATCCCCCAAGCTACTGACCTTACATGTTTAGTACAAATGTTTCCAGCAGCCACATCCACTGAAGCTGCAGCTGTCTGGTTATTCAGGCAGGGCGGGTGTTTTATGGCACTCTTATCAGCTAGTCATGCAAAATCAATCCAAACTGTCTTCATTCATGATGTCTGATCCTTATCTGCAGAGAGAGAGAGAGAGAGAAAAAAACGAGATCTCTTTGGGCAGTCTGCTAACTGAACACTAGAGGGAAGCAGTGTGTTGTCACTGATACTCATTATTGTCAAGTTTCTTCAGTTTTCAGTCAGAAAGTTTCCTTTTCCAAACTCTATAGACCACTTTGCCTTCATTTCTTTCTTCACCTTTCCCTTCTCAGCCATCTAGCAATGTTGCGTCCTGTTCTACTGATGGACTGACAGGAGGACCAATCATTTCAGATGTTACTGACATCACTCAAACCAGCATGGCCTCTCAGATGCAGTCTCCTGACAGCAGGTAAGTCAGAACCTTCAACGCCTGTATAACTGAACTTCCTTCTTCTAAGCTCTCCAGGATCTCAAAAGGTGGAAGATGGTTAACTTCCTGCCTCCATGCACAGGGAGAAGTGCATGATGCTTATCAAAGAAGAGCCTGTGAGCCCAGGAGTCCGCGGTGGAGGGAAAGTGGCCAGTGTTGGTGGAGGAGAAGCTTTGGCAATGAGCTCCACCTGTGAGGTCTGCTCCTCTGAGCCTCCTGTCCTCCCTGTCGCCATGGTACAGTCTGTCCTGGAGGGGAGGGGCTCAGCAGCTTCACTTCTAGAGAGGAGAAGCAGGAGGCCTACCACTGACAGGTATGTAAACCCTGTTGAACTCACTGAAATGAATTGATTTGTTTGTGTGTTTAATTTCAGTGTCTGTGTGCAGAGCTGAAATTTCTGAGTCAGTGGAGAATGTAGAAATGAGTATGGAGGAGCTGCAGCAGCTGCTGCTCAGGAGCCACCAGCAGAGCGCTGTAGAATCTGGAGCCGGCGTTGCAATGGATGTAAGTAGATATGCTGCTATGAGTTAAGATGACACAGTGCCAAACAATCAATCCTCTCAACCTGGGAGAAAAAAAATTACAGTTATGGACTGAGAAACAATCCCTTTCCTGTTCCTGGAACTTGTAGAAGCACATTTAATGGGAATGCCTTTCAGTAGTGTTTGAAACTGAAACTAACCTCATCACTTACTGTCTGATTATTTCAGCTTAGAAATGTCAGACTGCTTGGGAACACTCACAAGGAACTGAAATGCTATCCACAGCTCAGCAAAAAGGTCAATACAAAGAAAAAAAAATGAAAAGAAGAAGTGATATCGGGAAGAGTATCCGGTCCTGCAGCAGCAAAACTAAGTGAATTCAACAGCCTGTTAGTCGCACTACTGAGAACAGGAGTACATTAAAAGCGAGAGACATACTTAGAAGTGGCCGGAAGGGATGTTTAAGAAAAGTCTCCTACATTTCTGAAATTTAGACTCACATTAGAGCTCTGAACTTTAACTGGACCATTGGTACATTCTGCTGTAGATAAGCTGCTGTGTTTGGGAATCCTGTGCTCTCAAAAAACTCCAACATATGGCCTCAAACTGAACTCTAGAAGTATTTTGCATACATTAAAGATCACGTTCGATTCACTTAGTGCAAGGGGCCCAATTCTACTAGTCTTCAAAAAAACCCACCATTCTCCAGTGCATCCACAGAACCTGCAGCTAGTTTATTTTGCAGTTTGATTGGTTAGATTGATTGGTTAGGTCGCACTACTTAACAACCTGGAAGTATGACAAATTAAACTGCTTTATTCACCTGCCCCACCATCATCTGACATTAAGCGACAGAAAAAGAACCCTAGAAAGATATTTGGACACTGCGACTGTGCAACCGAGGCAGAAGCAGACTGACAGTTCTGGACCGTCTGCCTGCTTTGTTCATAACCAGATCAGCTGTACAAAGGTTGAATATTTTTTTAAGAAAAAAAAATTCAAACAGTTTTGAAAAGTTTGTGAAACCTTTTTCCCATAATGATGGTCCATAAAAGTTGCTTTTTAAAATAAATTACTGATCCTCATTCTAATTAGCCTTGTGGTAGCATTACTGTGCACTCTATAGAGCAGTTATTGAAAACTGCCTTTGTTAAAGATCAATTGGTTCATACATTTAGCTGATTTTAATGGTATTAAACATCTGAAATGTTACCGTTGTAGTATATTCATATACACTTGCATGCAAATTTTACTTAATACAAATACAAATCCAAGTTTCTATTGTTCGTGTGTTTCTGCAGCCTTTCAGTTTAAGCCTGCCTCTGACTGAATGGAACTTCACAGAGATGGAGTCCAACCTCAAATCTGTAAGTCAAAGTGTATTATCTCAGGAGCTGCAGGGGAAAACACAAACATAATTAGTTTGGAGTGAACTGAGAATTAGAAAAATAACGTAAACCAGCTTAAAAGCTACTATTGGCACATTTTGTCCCCTCTTTGAGGATGCAAAAACAAATGCACTAAGGAAATAGAAAAACAATATGTCAGCTTCCTACAGCTATAAGAAGGATGATCACTACAACTTCTCCAGCTATATGAAATGAAACTAAAACAGAAAGGAAATTAAAGAGAAATACACATATGTATTATTTTTCCCTACCATAATGTAACTTTGAATGGCAAAGAATATTATTATTACAATTATGTGAATTTAATGCTTAAATTTTCTTCAGATCCCTTCTCAGAACAGCTGCCACAATTCACCGAATATCCTAAAATGAAAAATATCTATATAAAAAGATGTCAACCTTTAATATCTATATAAAAGAGTCAACATCTGAATCATGTCATTGATACAAGAGGATTTTTGTCAAAAATCTATAACATTTGCGGAGGTTTCTTTTCTTTACGACCAGAATGAAGAAAAATCAGTAACTCCTCATTAAGTTAGAAAAGTGGAAACAGACTACTTTCTTACAGCAGTAATGGAAATTAGAGTAATTTGGGAGTAAGACAGGGCAGGGCGAAACTCTCAATCCACAGATTTATCAATACTCTGATGGATGGAGAGAGCCAGAACAATCGTTAAACTTAATACTTTCTGTGATAAACAAATAAATGTGTCCTACGCTTTTGTAATATTGAAAGCCTCAGTCAAGAAGATGATCATATTGGATAGTATGATCTTTAAATTATCATAAAGCACAATAAAACATATGGCCTTTTAAGACTGTCTTATTTCCAGCCTCAGAGAGACAAGTGCTAAAAGCCTGAGCTCACCAAGTAATCAATAACATCTCTGAGGTCCAATCCTTCTCACCAGATTCTTACTGAGCACAGAGGATGCTGAAGCTCTGAGATCAGGCAATCTTTCATTTGGTCATCAGAGGAATTTTCACAACAAATAGATGGAACAGATAGAATAAAAAAACTACCATGGTACAAAAATCTAATGGTAAAGGACACTCAGTGACTTAATAAACATTAATTATGCTGATGACTGATTGAGGACCACTGATAGCATAGAGAACAACAAGATTCTTCTCTGCTACATTATTTCCAACAGCCTTTTATCCCACATACATGCTAGAAAACCTTTAAAAATGTTTAACACTAAGTTAACTGTGCATAAACCCTTTCAAAATGTTCAGATTGTAGAATAAATATCTTCCCTAAAGGAAAGTCGATTAATTCTTTATCCCTGCTTGGTTTTTCTTTGTGGAGATGAAAGTCAGTGGGGGAAGAACTGAACCCCTTGGTACAGTCGGAACTTACGACACATGACACACTGCTTGTTTTTAGGAAGCACATTAGATTACACTAATTTGTTAAGCCTATAGTATTTTCTGTGTTGAGAAAAAAAGTATTTATCTTTATGAATGTGATGGAATGTGTTTTTTTGACAGTACATGTTCCATAATCAGGAAGCAGAGGCTTTTCCAGCTGCCAGCTGTGAAGATCAGTGACTCTGAGCCATGGAGTGTCATTTTCAACTGATAGGTAACAAAATATGATCTCATAATTAAACCCTTTATTTAAGGTACAGTGGGGGTCTTTCTTTTTCCGAGTGGATCATCAAAATAAGTTGTCCTCCTAATTGTCAATCATTCTGGTGATATGTTAACGTAAGGCCGTCCTATGTGCTCATCCTCATTTTCACTTACCAGTTGTGAGTCTGACATAGTGGAAAATTTGCAAATCTTCTTTTGGAAAGTAAACTTGTATAGGCAATACACACAGCAACTTTTTAACAGAGTGTGCACAAGGAGAAATGGGCTGTTGCATGCTCTAACACGCCTTTAATAAGCGTTCCCTCTCGGGAGTGGGTACAGGGTTGTGCATGTGCATTTTGAGGGCTGGTCTTTTAAAAAAAATGTGAATGTCCTTAAATATAGCTTTAATAAAAGTAAAAAAATCACTTATTTTCACATTAAATCTGCAAAGACTGGTGTAGTTAATTGAATTTCTAATATTGTTTTCATATAGAATAATAAAAACAATTATAAGTATTAGGTAGTGTGCATTTTTATTTTTTACCCTTTGTTCTGATACCCATTAAATAAAATCCTGTGCAATCAATTGCCCTCAAAATTCATCACTAGGAGTGATGGCCTAGTGGTTAGAGCAGTGTGCTTGTGATCTGAGAAGTTCGATCCGCACAGCCTCCACTCTGGGTCGCTTCGCAAGCCCCTTCACCCCACACTGCTGACCGGGCGCCACACGATGGCAGCCCACTGCTCCCCAAGTGTACAGGTCAAATGCAGATGCAAATTTCACGAGTGTGAGATCAATAAAGTTCTTTTTTTTTTTAAATAGACATTTAATCTGAGTATAAAATAAGGTGTTCTACAAAGGCCCCTGAGGTTTGTTAGAGAATATCAGTGAACAAACAAACCCTGAAAGTCCAGGAAAACAGCAGAGAGAAAGTTGGAACTTTTAGAGAGGATTGCTTTGTTCAATCCGCCATCTGAATGTGGAGAAAGGAAAAACCACCTCCAAATGTACCCAATGCAGGCTTGGAATGGGAGATATCTTACAAAGAAGCTGCCAAAGACCACCAGTACTTCTGGAGAACAAACTCAGAATCTGCCAACAGAACAGAGATTCCATAAAGTTAAATAAATAGATCTAATCTTTCTGGAAGAGTGGCAGGAAGAAAAACACTGTCAATTGAAAGCTTTAAGATTTTATAGCTTATTACAGGGCATGAATGAGGGACTTGACATTGGGCATGAGGAAGAAGGTTCCTGGCCAGCTTGGCCCACGGAAGACAGGAAAATAGGAGTTAAGGTAGCAATAATAAAATTACTAGTTTAACCTGAGGTTAACTCTCCTGAGCCTAAGGGTAATTCTTCTTGTGCTAAATGCCTGAAGAGACACTCTGACATCCCATCTTGTTTCTCTCCTCAGGCCACAGAAGCTGCTGTTCCACTCATTATTCTACTCCACATGAGTTTGAACTGAAAGCCCTGCCAGGCTATTTCCTACATGCTGCTTTGTTTCCATTCTGTGCACATAAGGACATCTGAAAGAAAGAGGACAATGGGATTTACTAACTACTTCCTGGTTAGCTGGCTGACATGCATTTGATGTCCACATTTGCAGTTAAGGAAACAAAATAATGTTGTCATGATAAGGATAACATTATAAATGATTCTCATTTAAAGCCAGATGGATGCAGAATGCTCATTTTTGGCTTCTGCACTTTAGTCTTTCTGCGAATTCCAGGCCGGAAATTTGTTTTTTGTTTTTTTCCCTCCTATATATAATTTATTTGCAAAAGTGTTTTAAATAATTTAGCACAAGAAAGGCAATCATGTGGGTTAATGTGGCACATTTCAAAAGTAAATGTTCTTAGTCTGTGTAAAGGTTCCTAAACTCTTGCTGAAAAATCACTGTAAGTGCTACAATAGAGGAGAGGTGTTTTAGCAGTTTTATAGCCTAGAATGCAAATGTAAACCAAACTATAACCCGTTCAAGAATGAATGGGTTACAGGGCCAGGAAAGAAACCAGTCACCCATCTCTGTTGGCAAACGCTTTTAACTCAATCTGTGGGTTCCCAGGCCAAATGAGATATATATTCTCTACAGTAAGTCTTGGTTTTTCCCACCCTCTCCTGCTAATGGGGCTTGCCCAAAAACTAGTACCCAGGAAGAATCTTGTAGAACGGGCATATGCCCTGTCCACCTCAACTGCCTTCTTTCATTGCAGAGAAGCAGTGGCTACAGGGCAAAGCCCCTCACCCTTTCAATTTTAATCCAGTTTATTTATATAGTGCCAATTCACAACACATGTCAACTTAAGACACTTTTCAGAGACAGTTCAATCAGATTATACAGTCAGACTATGAGACTCTGGGGAAAACCAGCCCATAGATGAGACTTTGATTTTGTAGGATTAGTTTCTCCTGGATGAGAATGTGCTGACATATAATGACTGTACAGCAGAGGTCTCTAACCCAGGTCCTGCAGGTTTTGCAACCTTGTAGGTTTTAGTGGCATCCCTGCTCCAACACAGCAGACCCAAGTAAACGGCTCTCTACCAGGCCTTTGCCAAACTTGATGGCATAGCGAAGAGATAATTCAGTCATTTTGAAAAAGATTAAATTATGCATCTAAAAACTGCTGGACAGTAGATCTTGAGGACTAGGGCTGGAGACCCCTGCTCTACAGCAAGTTCTCACTGTGAGAATGCATTTAGCAACAGTGGAGAAGGAAATCTCCCTTTTAATAGACCAGCAGAACCAGGCCCAATGTGAGGCTAAGGCTGACAGGGGATTCGATGAGAGAGAAGCAGACATACAAAATGAACATTTAAACACAGATCTATATATGCTTTCTCTGTTAAAATATGTAGCAGTAAACAAGCTCTATAGGTGGCGCTATTGAGGAACGAAACAGTTAAGCAGACGAGCACTGAGCCAGTTTTCATGTCTAAAGGATGAAAGAGAAAACTTACATTTATTCACAATAAAAGCTAAACCCCTAGCTATATCTAGGAGAGAAACCAGACTAGGCACTGAAAAACAGGCCCACTCTATCATCTATAATCTAAGATGTTGATGGCAGCAGCCCAGATGATAGATCTCTCCAGGATGGCATCACAGCTGAAGAGGAACAGGCAAGATGAAGCTACTATGATCAGAAAAAGCAGAGAGATTAAAGTTTGGGGTTGAACTTCCTTTTTGTCATGATCAATATCTCTTGACCATAAGTGTGGTGTGGAACAGAGACAGACCACCGAGTAGAGAGTGTGTTTTTTTTTTTGTCTCAGCTCTTTTCTTCGAACCAAAGCAGTGGCCACTTTATTACACAGGAAGCACAATATGTATCCATTTCTCTACCATTTCTCTTCAACTCCATCCTAACATCACTTGATCCAGAAGCCTTTCTTAAGCAAGCAGGAAAATGTGGATGGATGGAGTTTAACCTACCAACTTGACATGTCCTTGCACTGATTGGCCAAATGTTATAGTTTCTATTTTTATTTCTGAAATAATCCAAAAATACTTCTTATTTGACAGAAGCCTAACCAGTTCTTCATTCTGCACCACCTACATCTCAGAGGTTTGACATTGGGCCATGTTTTTTTTTTTTGGTTGTAGAAGAGTGACACTCTGTAAAGCTCACAGAGGCTGCATATGGATACATATTTAGTTGATATGTTTGTGAGAGCACATATAGAGCTTAATCAAACAATTCCTATTTTTTTCCCCTCTGAAAACAATTCAGTACATCTGAAAATGGAGCTGGAGTTTTTATTACCACATGTGTGATGGTATTGTTTCTTACAACTTAATCTGTAACAGAACTTTTGCAAACCTTAAAAACTGTAAAATAACATTAAGAACATTTACTACTTTTTTTTTTTTTTTCCATTTTTGTGTAAACTTATTTTGTGCTCAGCATTGGTTGCAGGCAACAATTATTTGTGAAAATGTGATTAGGAGACAGTAGCTGCAGATAAGTTGAATTGTGCAATATTGTACAGAACTGTGAGAATACTGCAATGCACAGATGACCATTGGAATGTAGGACATGAACATTTTGCAGTTTGAGTTGTGGAGTAGAGGGGACTACAATGAGATGCACAGCTGAAGGAGAAAGTTAGCCTGAGAGTCTAAAATTGCTGCCATTCATGCTGAGCTGCACTGAAGCTTTCAGCACTTATTACAGTACAATGAAGTGACATAAGCAGTAGGAAGCCTGCAGCTTGTGGTCAAGCTGCTGGCTTCCTACTGGGTGTCTTTTGCAGTGGCAGTACCGTAACCTTTTCACCCGCAAACATAGTTTCAAAAAAAGCACACATTAGCTTTAGCTTTGCGTTGCTTTTTTTCATCAAATTTCCACTGTTGCACAAACATTTTTTTCTCAAACAGACTGAAACTCCAGTAGAACATGTTCCCACAATTAACGCAATGTCTCACTTTTAGGGAAATGCAAAGTGCGTTAGTTCAGAAGTCTCAGAGACAAAAAAGAGGTTTTTCTAATATGCCTAAATATTTTCTTGAATAGACTAAAATAGTTTTTTGTGACCTCCAGGTTAATGTTTAATTGGTTGAGCTTTATTCTCTGTACATGAAAGAAAAGTGACCTTTGGTGTAAAATAAATGAAATTGCACTAAAAAAAATCTAGTTGTAAGATATCCTTAGGCTAAGCAGTTGTTTTTGTTCCTCATCATATGAGTGTAAATGGCTTTTTCAAGGGGTGATGAATTGCACATTCAGTTGCTGTTGTGTTCCTAATTTATTCTGTTTTAAATTTTAATCATTTGCACTGGCAGGGAATAGATGTGTGTTAAAATGGCATTTATGCTCGTTGGGATTGCAGATGGATAAGGAAGTATTTTTGTTCAGTGGCTGAAAAGACATCTGCTGTTAACAAAGCCTGGCATCCCAAAAGCACCTCTGCACTGTGAACGTTCATGAATAAATCTACATACAAATTCACAGCACTTGCTCTGCTAGCAAAAGATAATAGAAAGCAAGTACCCACTGTCTCTAAAGGACAGGGATAATCTCAGTACTTAGGTGCTTTTGAAAGTGGGCCACAAGTCGCTCAAAATATGATGCATTTAGTGGGATTTTTTTTCTTGTTTTTGCAAAGACTAAAGCGTATTGTTACAGTTACTGAACATGTATTCCACCTGTGTATAAAAAAATGTATTTGGTCAACCTAAATAAAAAAGTTATAAAAAAAACAACATGCTTAATTACTTTCTTGTAATGATAGTTACATATCTAAGAATTTGTACTAACGTATTGTGTATGTCTGCAACAATTTACACAAACACTAAAGCATTTCTGATAATATAACTAAATCTAACTAACACTGTTCAAATTACATTGTTTTAACACATTTTACAATTGAGATGGTTTGTGCTCTATGTCTCCATAATTATATCAATTTTCTTATTTAAAGATAACTATATATATAAGAAGGGAATATCAAAATAAATATAAGTATGAGGACTAGAATTTGTCCAATACTTCAATAGTTTGGCCTGTTGATAAATCGGATGATATTTGCCTGTCTTTCCAGTATTGGCGTTTCGACTGATAGTGTTAGGAATCCAGTTTGTGTGGCCTGTTTGTGTGTTTCCTTTTTCCACCACCAGGAGGTGCCCTGTCTTCGCTGTCCCTCCCTGCACACCTGCGGCTCATTGGACCATTAGCTGAAGGAGTATTTGAGCAGTGGGCTGTCACTACCTCGGCCCCAGAGTGTTTGCCAGTCTTGGGTACCCTAGCCAAACAGGAGATTAGCTGAATCTAACCTAGCTTTGTTTTTCTGAGTCTAACAAGTGTTTTGTCTTTGCTCTCCGGCAGGAAGCTTTCCTGTTTAACTGGATACCTGGACCTTCTCCGCCCCGGAAGGATATACCGAGTTCACACTGAGTAGGGGAAAATCTCCACATGTTCTGTTGAAGTTCCCATCGGAAATCCGAGTGACAGTCCACTCCATTACTCCTCCGGGTCCCACGCTTTTCTACCTGTCCGCCCTCCAATGTGTGCACTATTTTCTGGATTCCCCACACAGACTGGATTCAAGGACTAACAAGGCCCCCTCAATGTGAGTCCCTTTCCTGCATTATCTAAAGCATCCAAGATTCCCACGGTCCCTGAACTGACCTCTGAACTTCCCTTCTCACTTCCAGTTCCGGTTCACCTGCTCTCTCAGTACCAGACCCCACTCCTGTTACTTCCTCAATAAACCTGTTAAACTTTTCCCATGCTCTCTGTGTGCTTTCTCTGCATGTGGGTAAGATTCGTAAAACCGATCATGACAGATGACAGTGTAAGTAGGCAATTTTTAAACATACTTTTGTCACGATTCTGCTCTTTGTGGACTTTTTGGTTCTGTTTGTTTTGTGTTCGATTGCACTTTGGTTTGTGTCATTCTTGTCATGATGGGTATAAGTTGCTAGCCCATATGCAGAACACACTCAGGAGGCAGGGAAAAAGTTCAAAGGTTTATTTATAATAAGGAACAAAGCAGATCAGGATGTCATCAGGTCCAGGGCTGGTCTCGGCTGGGTTGCTGACCCGGAGCTGAGCAGAGCAGCAGAGGGGATAAATCCTAGGAGGATTCTGAGGCTGGCGGCAG